ACTTGCAATGGGGATTTCGCATTGGTGTACCATCTTCACTGTGAGTTGAACATGGAGCGTGTTTCCGAACACAGGTTAGTTGAAGTTCCTTGTAGGCAGAGGCAATCATGCTTTGTTTTGGAAACATGGACACGGTCCAGCTGGGAATCATTCGTTGCGTTAGCTGCACAGCCCCCTTAGCCAAATTGAAATACATGCGGCATCTGGGGTTGCACTTGTGCAGCTACGCCTGAGTGCGTCCGGTCGGACCGCACAGCAACCTAAGAGCTACTGTACGAAACTACCGTGCTCAAAGGCACAAGCTCGGTACTTGAGCCAAAACATTGGCATTGTTACGAATTGCAAAACTACGCATGCAAAGGAAAACTACTACAGTACTGGCCCTGGCAGCTTTGCACATGCAGCGTGCGTGCATAGACCTGCTCACATTCGCCCCTCAGCCGAGGCTTCCAGCTCATCTCGAGCTCGGAGTGCAGCAGGCACTCGCGCTGAACACAGAAAGGGAAGGGAGAGGGTGTCGCGTGCGACCGCGGTGGTCCGCACATCATGAGCATTGGCATGCGGCAGGGACGCTAGCCCGCACCACCACAACGAACGCACGACGACAGCAACCCTCAGCAGCCCTAAACAGCCCTTTCCCTGGAGGTCCTCACCCCTTTTGCTGGTGGGCGAGGCTCTTGAATCCTCGAGCTGGTCTCTAGCTGCCAGTACGCAGACTATGGTACAAATGTATGGCAACGCGCGTCGACAGTCCAAGCAATGCACCTCCGAGCTTCGTGGAAGGGATTTGCAGTTGAGCCGTGCGCCCGAAACCTTGAACCAGCAGCAATAGGCTTGCCGGAGGACCCCAGACAAGCCCTCAGATAAGGCCTGGCTTGCCTCTTAATTCGCAGAAAAGGTTTGCAGTGTTTGCAGACGGCCGTCCTGGCGCGCTTGATGCCGCTTGAAGCTTGGATAGGCTGGCAGGAAGTCAAGGGCCGCGCAGACAAGGTCCACACTGAACAACGAAATGTCCCAAATTCTGGGAGGTTGCGCTAGGTCGCAAAGGGTCTCCAGTTAGTTGCCGTCCATCCTCCAGCATCCGATGCTCAATTGCTCCCGGCCAAAAGAGGTTTGGCAAGGAAAGCGTTGGTGCCGTTTTCCAGAACGCGGGGGGGGGGGGGGGGGGGGGGGGGCGGGGTGAAGACGAAATCGACGACGATGAAAACGATCAAATTGCGCGCGAAGACGAGAGAATTGATGACGAACATCGGCCCCGCAGAGGATGAAAAGTCCGTTGCGCGAAGCACAGATGACGAAATTGGGCCCCGAAGACGATTTGGCCCCGGAGCCGAAATTCGACCTCGAATACATGTGCACTTGTCCAGGCTTTGATTGCTCTTGCAACGGAAGGAACCCGAAAACGATATTCAGCCCGAAGACGACATTCGGCTCCAAAGACGAAATGCGGCCTGAAGGTTAAAATCGGCCCTGAGGACAAAATTTGGCCCTGAAGACGAAGTTCGACCGTCAAGACGAAATTCGGAACCGAAGACGAAAGTCGACGAAATCGGACCCGAAGACGACCCGAAGAAGGAAATTCGGTCCCGAAAACGAAATCCGACCTCGGAGTCGAGGTTCGGCCCCGAAAATGTAACGCGGCCGCGACGAAGACCGCCAACCGAAACTTCTGCCCAACCGCTACAGGTGAGCCTGTTCCGGGCGGTCTCTAGGCGTTTCGGGTCGGCATTTCTGCTAGCAAGTAGGAATCACGTTGTGTGCTGATGATGTATGCCCCGCCCTCCCCGCTCAACAAATATACCCCGGAGTAGTATGGGGGGCATTTGGGGTCGGTCTGGTTCACGAGCTGCTCAGAAGTATCCTTACTTCGCCTCGTTTCCCTTAAGCCAAAAACCCCAAAAACTCTTGAACGTTACGCCTGAACCCTGAAACCCTATACCTATACCCCTTAAACTTATAAGCCTTAAACCTTAAGCATGAAGCCTTAAACGCGCAAGGTCCATTGACTTTACCCATTTTGGTACTGAGTCCAGAAATAGATGGTGCGCGTGAATGCTAAGGCCTAGCTTTCAACGCCAATAGGAACGTCGGAACACTGATAGTGCACCTGTTCCGGGCGGTCTCTTGGGCGTTTCGGGTCGGCGGGGAGTGGAGAGTGTGTTCGGAGGAGAGAAACCCGAGGGCCCCATGAACTTAACCAGTTTTGTTATTGAGGCCAGTTTTGTTATTGAGGCTAGATCACAGTGCAGAGCTTGCGAAGACCGACCGGTATAATGGATTTTTTTTTTTTTTGGGGGGGGGGGTGGGCATATGATACCGCCACGAGTATCACACCGTATTGACGTATTGAGGAAGCCGTTGGCCTACCCTCTTTGAAAATTGGTCGCCTGCAACAATGGATTTGTTGAAAGGGAACCTTGGCTTGAGGGCTGCCTTCCGGACTCAGTGGGTCTCAAGTTTCAAGGGCTGTACCTGAAACTCTGCCAAGATTGGGCGCCTCAAGTTCTTCGCAAGATCGAGCAATCCTCCAGTTTTAAGGGGTTTGGGGCCTTAGGCTTTGCTAAGACTGGGTTAGCCTCTAATCTTCAGGGACTTATAGGACTTGCAGCTTTGCCAACGCTGGGCGCTTGGGCTGGTGAGCATAAGATCGCCCCCTGCTTTGATTCTCTGCATCTCCACTCACCAAGGTTTGGGTCCAAACCGGTCATGCACGCCTTGTGTCGGCAAGCTGGGGAGTTGCCCATGCAAGCTTGCTTTGTAAAGAACTTCAGGCCATGAAGAAGATTTGCATGTAAGACAAGACCTTTCCAAACCAGTCGTGCGTTTTCGAGCCGCGAAGCCAAAATCCTCCCACCCCCTTACCAGTGCAAGCTTGCTTCATGAAGAACAACACCCATGACGAGGACTGCCTTTTGAACCATACCAGTCCTGTCTTTTCCAAACCCTTCGTGCTAGTGTGCTAGCAGTGTGTTAGCAAATGGGAGGGGGAGGCCTGCACTCCCCGCCCCAGCCGCCCAGCTTGTATTCACGGTGACCCTGTGCAAGTTTGCTTTGTAAAGAAGATCATGCCCTGAAACGGACGTGCGTTTAAGCATGTACGAAGCCTTTCCAAACTTGGCATGCGAGCATTGCGTTTTCGAACGGAGGGGGGTGGGGGGCACCCTGTTGCTTTCAAGCCATGCAGCTGGTGTTGCAAACAAGATCGTGTCATGATTTTCAAGCCGTGCAAGCTTGCGTTGCAAAGAAGATCGCGTCATCCCGTCACACGAGCTTTGTGTCAGCAAATGTGGGGGGGAGGGGTGGGGGCGGGCCCGTGTTTTTGTCCCCGCATGAAAACACCACTTGCGCTTTAAAACCAAGTTTGTTCAAGTACATCTTGCAACCATTGTCTTGGTAAGTGCGGGTCCTCGCCGTTCTTTGCCAGTGCTAGCTTGCTTTGCAAAGAGCTTCAGCCCATGAAGAAGACCAAGACTTGCGTGTTTTGAGTTTAGAAATTGGGGGGGGGGGGGGGGGAACTGTCAAAACCTGTCATGCGAGCATTGTGCTTGCAAATGGGGGGGTGCGCGTGCCAAGCAAAAGCCGAAATCTTGACATGACGTGGCGAGATGCTCAGACTTTGAATGAACATTGCTTGAGGATGGCTGCTTCTTTTTCCATTCAGCACAGCTCACCATGGCTCGCCTACATTGGCTTGTAGTGAAGATGTCAAAGCAACTTCACATTTCTTAGCATCTCCCGCGTTCTGCTTGGGCCCCGCCCATGTCCTCAGGTGCTGGTCTTGTTGGGCCCGATCGATCCCAACATCCCGACTGACCGAGAGGACCTCATCAACGCGTGCCAGGAAGGGGGCTGTGAGGGGCTCCTTGACTTGATCATAAATACCACGGGACATTCAGTGCGGGCTATGTGTAGACCTCAGATTCTGGGCCCCAACGTCTTCTTGAGGCCTCTGCGATTGGCGCCTACATCGTGGAGACTGCCCAATGCAACCGTGGGAGATTTATTGATGCAGCACCTTGCAATATCCTTGAGTTTCGGCTTTGAAGGGAAGTTTAACTTGGACATTGCTGGTTCGGTTGTTGTTTGTGGCATGTGACAGGCATGACCGGCATGAGTTGCTTCCACTGCTGGAGGAGCTTGGTAAAGGGTCGAGTTTCATTTTCCGGGCTTGACTGTGCTGGAATGATGCTTGTTACGCTTTGCAGGGCCGTGTGTTACGATCCTCACGAGCAAAAGCTTCATGCTCGTACGTGCAGAGAAACTGCGAAGCCCACTTGCAGGACCTCCGTGCGGTCGGTGAGGACAAGTACAAGATTTTTTTGGAACACTTTCAGACGACGTCCGGGCCTCGGGCAAGAAGTGCGCAAGGTCAGATGGACTGGAGGAGTGCAAAACAACTCCTTGCCCCAACCCGCTTGCACAGCACCTCAGCATCCGGCTTCACTTGCAATCATACCCGTTGGCATGCATCGAATCACTGCCCTAGCCCTTTCTTCAGAAGAATAGGCCTTGAATAGGCACGGATTTTTCGTCGTAATTAAGGCTGCGGGTCATCGCGCTGAATGCGGACCAGCCAGGCCTCGTGGAAAAGTTCCACCGGGCATCGAGGATAAAGCCGCTGTCGGCTGGGGCGGTTGGGGAGGCGCTCTCCTCCGAAGGCCCATCATCTGGTCGCATGATGCCACGAAGGTCGATGCAGCCGACAGCAAAGAAGAAGGCACGGCGTGACGATGCAGATTTGAATGAGATTGGAGACACTGCGGAAGGCGACATGGTGCTTGACACGTGAGCAAAAATAGAAAAAACATGGGTGCTTGTTTGCAAGGGATTGAATTCGGAGGGCTTGTCGTTCATTGACGTCCCAAATCACTGCACAGGTGTACGGCCTAAAGAGCTTCTTGAGTCGAACACGAATGTCAGGCTTATAGATTGCATGACCGTCATGACCCCACCCGCATGACAACGCTCATGCAGCTCCTCAGAGTCTGTGTCTCCCAAAGGAGCTGCATCGCCTTTGGGCGCGACTCGGGGAGGCTCTGCGGGCTCATGTTTGAGTTACGTGTTGAAACTCATTGTGATGCTGGGATTGAGTCTTGGGATTGCTACAGGTGTACAGTTGCCACTTTGTCAGGGCTAAGGTGCCTTGCGCAAGACAATCGCCCGGCAAGGTGCGCAAGGCCACGGGTCATTCACATCAGAGCAACATTGACGCGCATCACCTTTTTCCCGAAGCTTTATCAAGACATTTCCACACTTACTGCATTGGCAAGGGTGTGAAAGGCGAATGCCATCCAACTATCCCTCCTGCGCGTCCAGGCAAACCAAGATCGAACAGCATTGTTCCGTAATTAAGGCTGAAACATGCTTGCCTCCAAGAAATATGGTCATCTGATGTCATATCTCGTGTGAGTCCAGGCCCGTACCCTTTACACATTTTTCCTGGCCGAGACGGCCTGTCGATAAATGACAAGATTCCCCCATCCCACGTACCAGTGGCAAAGGACTGATCGCGTTTCCAACCTGACAAAACCCTCATGTGCTTGGCACAAGTGAAGCCCCTCAGCCAGAGTTTAGAAGTGTAGCGAAGCATTAAACGCCTGAGTCAGACCGAATCCAAAGTTCCGAAGCCTTGCGGAGGTGCACCGCGAGGCGGCAGCCCAGCGGGAAGCGTTGGGCCAGGAGCCCAGAGCTTCCAGCAGTTTACATTAAAAACAAAACAGCTGAGAAAGCATCTGGCTGTGAGCCAGGGCCAAGATCTCGAACATCTCTACTCCAGAGACCCGCATCTCGGAAAGAACTCTCTGCATCTGAGGCCACACAGCCGAGCTTCGCGGGGCCGTGGAGAAAGATGTGCTGGGACTCCGGGAGGTGGGATTTGTTTTTGTGGACATCGATTCTCCAGAGGACTCTCAAGAGGACTCAAGAGGTCTGTTTGCAAGTTTTTGGTTCTGAGCTGTGATGGGAGATTCTGGGAGATGATGGGCGAGGCACTTGAGGAGAGAAGGGACAATTGTTTGCTGGGCGGCGCTGGGGCGTATGCCCCTCTACGATGGCAAGGCTTTATGTGAAGGGAGAGCTTGCTTTGCAAATCTCCAGAAGCCGAATTCAATGGTCTATACTGAGCTTGAGCCAAGGTGTAAAAACAATTGTTCTCCTTCTCGTGGATGCTGGTATATTCAACGCCAGAATACAACCTCCCTGCAAATTCTCGCTTTCTTGAGTTTGTTCTGGATCCCGAAACTTCCCGCAGCCTTTCCGCAGACGAGTGCTTTCCTGGCAGAGCAGCGCGCGGCTCAGAGTCTGCCTCGCAAAAATCAACCTTGCTCTCAAGCCTTGTTGGCTTTGCATTGTTGCCGTGCACGAACATGCACTGCCTTTGCATCCTACGACTCTTGATGTTCAGGAAACGCCGCGCTCAACTTGGGATAGGGTCAGGCCGAGATCGGACAGCTGTGGAGTCAACGGGAGTTCGCGAACTCTGGAATAAGCAGCAAAGAAATCTTCTTGGAGAGTACACCGAATTTTTCGCAGGGGGCGGGGGGCGTTCCGGGCGCGTTCAGGAACTTTGGCCGGTGCTATGGCTAAATACGTACACCTCTTGAGCATGGGGTTCATTCAAAGTACCCCTGACATGCATCACGCATACCTGACTACTTCAAGCAGCTTTTGATGGTGGGAAGCTTCCAGCCAAGACTTAGACCAAGACCGGTAGGTTCTCTAAGAGGGTTCTGCTGTCCAGGGCCGTGCCCAGCAGCCTCGGCGGCCCTGGAGATCCTTCCAGAGACCTATGCAGGATCGGACAATTGAACGGTGCTGTCGATGCTCGTGTCGATGCCGTAACAGTCGCAAGGAAAATATTAAGGCTGTTAAGGCTAGGCGGGTGTGTACATGCGCGTTCTGTTTATCTACAGTTCACGTGACATCTGGGAGGGGCCTTGACCAGAGATTTCAGGTGAAAAGTGTCAAGCAAGTCTCCTCGCTCATGAACATCCACATGCAATCCGAACCCGCGCTAAGACCCTCCAAAAACCGGGCCTTCGAGAGCACCCCTAACATCTCAGAACGCCAAAGATGGAGCAGAAAACGACGATACTCCTGCAGGGAGATCCTCAGCTCAGCGGACATTGGCTGCTTCGATGCCCTGGAGAAAATATCGCTGCAGTGGGACGGGCTGGGTGTGAAGAGGTCCGGGACCAGGACCATCAGCCTTGCTGCTTGTGAAGGCGTTGCATCGTTCCTTGTGAGTTGCGGAAGGCAGAGTTTGTGCGTATGTAGCTGACAAATGACCAGCGCTGTTGCATTCTGACGTCTCCCGCAGGCCATTTGCTTGACCCTTCAGTAGACCATGCACGTCCACCGCCCGCAGCTTTTTTTGTTTGTGGACCGAAAGTAGGCGTGTGCAGCGAACCGCTTCGCGCTTCAAGGCCGCAGCTGTCAAGATGAGAGACACAAGGGGCGACAGCGGAGCGTGAGAGATGCCCCAAGTAGTGAAAATGTTCTAAGACTCAGACGTTCTGGAACCCTGGTTTGGTCCCGACAATTCGGTGACAGGTAGGTTGGGACGTGCCCTGAGTGCTTTCCTGAAGCCGTGCTGTGCGCAGGCCACAATGTTGACAGAAGTTCTCGGCCGCAGGCGGGAGGAGGCTTTGCAGGCTGTCTGTTTGCGTGACATACACAAGACCGGCATGCAAGAGGTACAAGACGGCCTTTCCGATTGTCTGCTGTGTGTTCCTCCTGCCTTCAATCAAACTCCAGCATTCCAAAAAGAGTATCGAAGGAGGAGATGATCGAAGGTTCACGGAAGCTCATGTTTTCAGTTCCCCTATTCAATGAGACATGGCTACATTCAAGCCCATCATCTCAGCGTGTCATGTTGGGTCGAGCAGAAGCGTAACCTGTGCAGGGTGGCGACACCAGCCCTGCACATGGGGAGGCTCGGCCTCAAAGACGATTCTGGGAGAGTGTCAATTGATGGCTTAGTGACTTAGTGTTGGTGCCACAGTGCCACAATTCCCCAGCCATGCTTGCTGGCGATGCATTTCAAGAGAGCCCTGACTCCACTCTACATGTTACAGTAGCCATATTTAGGGGTTATTTTTAGTCCTGATCTTCACAGCCCATGTTGTGGAGGACTGAGCCCTGCCTCCGCGAGGCATCTCAGGGAGACGCGTGATTTTGGGATAAGAAGGGGGTGGCACTTCGGATTCCTGAGCCGCGGGGGAGACCTAGGATTCCAGCCGGTCCAGTACCTCGTAGCATGTCTGAGAAGGGTGCGATGTCCTGAGCAATCTCTCGTGGCCAGGCCCCACTGATGGCTTTGCAGGAGGAGCATGTTCTGAAGCGATGAAGCAAGTAGACTGTGATGTAGACTTGGAAACGAGCTGTGTTCGGGGTTGGTCGCCACCAACCGGGACGAGGCCGAACCCATTCCAAGCCTCAGCTAGCGAGCAAGTAATTTTTTTTTTTTGCACGGTGCTCATCTGCAACATGGATCTGCTGCCTCACCCTACTCTCACAAGCAGAAAGCCACAAAGCCTGATACAGTTGTCAGCTAGAGGAGCAACATGGTCTCCGGCCAGGGCCTTCTTTTGCTGTGGATTCATGGGATCTTCTCAAGGGTTGTATTGCAAGGAGCTCCTTAGTGGCTTAGTGGGATGGACTCCTGCCCGGGTCACATTTTGCTCAGCTGTTGCCCATGCACCCGTGCAAAGAGTTTGTCAGACATCAGGAAGAATCGTGGCAGAGGATCTCCATCTTGGTTCGATGAGCTTGAGAAACCGCTGACTGGCTGAAGTCTGAAGTAACAGCTTAAGTCCATAACGTTCTGAGCCCCCCTTTCGCGTTCCCCGATGTCTCATCCTGGAGTAGGCACGGAGGAAAAACCAGCCCGAACATCCCGAAGTTGGTCCAATGCTCTTGTCAAGACTCGTTGACTTCGTTGACCTTCGTTCACCTTCGTTCACCTTCGTTCATTTGAAGTCATCTTAAGGCATATCTCGTCCCTTCAGAGGCCCATGCGCACGCTCGGTCCACTCAGTCACCGAATTGGCGGCCTGGGCCCAGGAGAAGTTTTTGGATTCTTTGGCTTATAACTTCTCTGACGTCGGAGAAGCTCTTTGAGGCCAATGTAAAGTCACAAGCCAGGCCCCCTCAACGAGACTTACAGAGTGCAGCTTTAGGCGGGCAAGGTGAGTAATGGTTCATAGGCGGGGTCAGGGAATCTGAATGTACTTGAACGCACCTGCACTCACAGGCTTCGGGCCATCACGATTTAACTCAACTCTTTGCCGAGGGTCATGCGGCTGGCATTTCAGATTCTTGTCACGATTTCCTCGCTGTCGCAGCGCTCTGTACCCTTGCAACCTGACGCAAAGCCCAAGTGGAGTTTTCTCGGGGGAGAGGATCAGTGAGACATCCCGAGCTTGACTCCCAGTCTCACATGCCCCGATTCCACAGGTGCGGAGAACGTACAGCCTCTTCACGCTTGGGACTCTGTTTCTCGACAGGAATTCTCCACAGTGGCTGAGGAATCATGCTGTACACGAATGTACACATTCAACTTGCTGACATGTGTGATTTTAGGATGTATCCACAGGCATGTGCTGCGCAGTGATCTGAGCTCAGGGATTGGCCTTGGGAGGGAAATAGTTTTTCGTAATGAGTTAGGAGGAAAGGATTGCGATCTCCAGTGGGAAGGCGGCTCCAAAGCTCGCCGAAGAAGCGATTGATCAAACGTTGCGCTGTCTTCAATCTTTCACAGCTTCAACGCCGCCACACTTATAGACGCTGCGCTCGTCTTGACACTGAGACCAAGACGTCCTCAAAGCGTCATCCTGCCAAGCGCGCGGCCTGAGGGGTTGGAGGTCTACACCCATCTTCCAAGATAGGAGGCTTGGAATTGAGCTTGTTGGACAGTGCCGTTGGTAGCTGCACACCATCTAGACTTGGTGCATGCATAGTGGCCGAGATGTTCAAGCAAATTCCTACATCGCAGGAAGGATGTTTATGTCTGGAAGCTACAAGTCGGGGTGCGAGGGGTCTGAGTGCCCCGAGTACGGTCATCCCCAAAGGCACCAATCGGATCAGACCCTCGACCCCTGTGCTGCCGGGCTGAATCTGCGAATCGCACTCCCTGCTCGTCCAGCTCGTTCGCCCCGGGCCCCCATCGGATCAAGCAATGCAGTATACTCACCCAGTTCAATCAGGTCACGGAAATAAACTACGAGATATGATCATCAGCAAGAGAACCCAGGCGGCATGCAAAGCAAGGAAGCGTACAAAGGGACGTAGGTTCCAGCAGACATGACGCAGCCCATTGTTAGCCTCCGTCAGGTCACGATGACGAAAAAGGCACTGCAAGTAAACTTGGAATGCCTTTCTTGAGCGTGAGAGAGAAAATCGCCATGTCAAGATAAGCAACTAACCACACACTGCAAGCCCCTGGTATCGTCCGATATGGGCATTCCGAGATCCTAAGCTCGTAGACCACTGAACGGACACAGGCTGATGCAGAGTTCGGGGTGGGCGCTCACTGATTTGTCTCGGCTGGCCGAGCTGCTAAATCACCAGGGCTGATCCACCCCTTATGTCTATAAGGCTGGCGTCGACGACCTCCCCAAACAAGGAGAACGAGAATGAAGACCAGGTGAGCAGATGGGTTCTTGTCGCGGTAAGTTGAATCCTGTAACTCTCTGCTGATTGTGGCCGTGTAGAGGTTATGAATAGTGTGTGTGTGTGTGTGTGTGTGTGCGCGTGCTGGGTGTGTTGTTGAAATTCAGGCGAGCTGCATTTGGGATGTGACGCGACGCAACGGAAAGTAGCCAGATCCCCTTGGAGTCTGCAACCCAAGCCAAGCTACAAGGCTCACGATCTGCACCTTTCGCTACTTCACCGCTAGTGCTCTCCTGTCACGATGGTCTGGCCACTGAAGGCCCTGGCAGAGCACCCTTCCAGCGCACTACAATCTCCGTCGACACTGACATTGTCTGACATCACAACACCCAAGAGAGCTGAAATTCTGACCTGAACGCAAGCGGCAAGCGCACCTGCGGAAGCATCAACTCCCTGAGCGCGAAGGAATCGAAGCAGAGCAACTGCTTCCCCCAATTAGACTGCCGTCTTGCCCCGCTCATGGTTCAAGCCTGACAGGTGAATCGCAAACTTGACGAGGCGGGGCCCAAGATCAGGGTATCTTGAGGGTGGACGGGCCTGGAGGTGTTGTTGGTTCAATGTGGTTCAGGTCGTGCCCCTTTCGTCCATGTCTCGAGCGTTTCCCGGCTAGCAGTGAGACGAATATGGGGGCGTGTGATTCTGCCGTGATTCTTTACACAGGCCTTATGGCCAACTATGGCCACAAGAGTTCTTTACACAGGCCACAGTCAACAAAGTCAACGAACTTGTGCGACAAAAAGCCTGGAGATCTGAAGATCCCATGAGCATGACCTTTAAAGAATGTGTAACAATCCGCAATGTTTAGCTTCCGGCTAGAGCCTGGTGAAGTTCACACACAGCCAGTAACCGCTGAAAGTGTTTCGAGGCCCGCGCAGACCCGGCACCACTCCTGGAGGAGGCCCGGCGGGCAAACTGGAAAAGTACCCCCCCCCCCCCCTACCATCCACCAGGAAGGCCTTTCGGCGTGCTGCCCGATTGGAGTAGTAGCTGGGGATGATCTTCCAAGATTCTGAAGAAAGTTTCCACTGCCACAAGTACAAGCCCCCAGCGCGTCGAGCACTGATTTCACCGATGGCGCTTCGGCTCACGAAGTGAGAGTCGCCCATTGCACATCTCGTTGCGAAGAGGTGGACGATGAGACCAATGAGACCTTTTAGAGTGCTGTGCCTGTTCATACTCTTGTTCGGTGCGGATGCGTATGGCATGTCGTGTTCAGACCTGGCCTGGCCCTTGCATTGCGACTGTAGCTGCTGGAAGGGCACCGGAGTCCCACGCCGGCTCAGGGCCGCCTATCACACGTTGAAGAATCATAGCGAGTCAACGTCCTTGAGGGGACTCTTTCTTGACCAAAGTAATTTACGCAAATGGTTTCAGGTCCTGTTAGCGGCTGTGGGCGGCCACATTCCGAGCAGATCACGACTGAGCCTCTGGCTGCCACTGGGACTCGACGCAGCTCAAGCGCAAGAGGAATGCAGGCCTGGCATTGCCATGTTGGCTTTTCTGGGTTCCAGGGCAGCGGTCTCTTTCCTGCGCGAGGAGGTGCGAGGTCGGCCTCTTACGCCACTCGATGTGATCCAGGTCTACACTGCATATGAAATCGCTGTTCTCCTGAGTGGTATTGCAAAGGATTTGGCCCTGGACTGTGAATGTGGCCATCGGTGGATTTGGACACCGGCCGACCTCCTGGAGAAACATGCAGATTGGCTTTCATACTTGAGCTCCGTCAGTCTAGCGGTCCACGAAGACGCGCTGCCCTCTCCTTTCGAAGTAGAGACAAAGGATGCTAAGGCCAGGATGCGGCAGAAGCTGTTCTTCCAGTCCGGAACCGGTTCCGGGCCCATGGGGCTGTGTCCGTCGGTTGGGGAGGTGTCGAGTCCCAGGCCGCCGCCGCAAGGTTTGCCTCGCTTGCTGTGTGTAGTGCCCGCCCTGTGGCCACGGGAAAAGGTAGCGATGGCATCGATGGCCGCCACGACTTTGGCTGATTGCGACAGGTGCACCTTCTACGTCGCATCAAAAGATAGTCCGAAGGAGCTGAAAGGTTGTGGGATGGTGGACCTGTCTGATGAGCCAGAGGTGGGCCAAGATCCGCCGGACAACTTCAACGGCACGGGAGAAGAGACGTTTAGTTTCAATCCGGACAGCAATCTCGTCGCCAAGGCTTTTCATATGCTGTTGCATGCGTCTGTATTCAGTGGACCCGTGGAGGAGTTTGACTGGCTTTGCCTCATCGAAACTGACGTTTATTTCATAGCCGCGAATTTGCGGAGGTTGGTGACATTGCTCGGGTTTTCGCCGACCGATCCACACTGGGTGGGGCATGAAGTCCTTGCTGACATCGCTCAGAACGGGATTGCGATAGAGCCCAACTCCGGCAGTTGCCTCAGCGCTTTCGCTGTGAGGAAGATTGGGCAGTTTTACACCACGTTCTTGTGGAGCTACCGAAAAGGTGTGCAGCTTTTCGAAGAGGATGCGTTGCTGCGCTGGAACAAGCCTCCACTGCATCCGGTTGGCTGCCAACCGTTTGGGCTCGGAGGTCAAGGCTTCTACCAGTCGGTGTTGACGGCCTGCTTCCGTGCAGCAGGCGTGTACCCAACTGATCCAAGAAGCTTAGGCTTTGGTTTGTGCTCTAGCCCATGTTGCCGGCGCTTGTTTTTCAACTCCGTAGTACTCAGCCACTTCGTAGTAGATAGTTGCTGCGTACGACGTATCGCGCCTACCAAGGAAATGTGCACGACCTCCGGGGCCGTCTTTACTTTCCAAACGTGGCGGTGGACCGGCTTGCAACTGCTCAAGCCTCAGTTGGTGAAACACCGCAGTCCCCCAATGAATGCCCCATACCTGGGCTCTGGCTCCCAGGGGCATAAGGGGAGGTGGGGATGTCCTGTCCCCCCTGGGGCCCTGCCGTAGTGATGCTGCATGGCTACGTGCGCAAGTGAGTGTGTGGGGCTCTCGCCTTTGCTGCGGGGTTATCCCAAATCCCAAATGCGGTTCTCCCTGTCTGCACTCTTGCCATCCGTCGCACTGACGTCATGAGGATGGAGGGGCCATGCATGGCTCCCTTTCCGTTTTGTTGTTCTTGTTGCACCGCCCTCAGAGTAGGCGCGGTCTTGGACGACAGTCACTTAACATAGGATACATTAGCACGTTGGGAGGAACTATTGGGTAGAAGTAATTCTGTTTCAGCATCCTCTTCATCCTCCGGGGTGAGACACGGCCAGATGTTCTGCTGAATGCAAGCATGACAAGTGCAGGTTCTTCACCCACCAGCACTTCCGCACTGCAGCTGGCAGCCGCGGAGTCATCAAGATGGTTTGGAGCAGATCTTCAATGGCTTCAGCTACATATACCTACGATGTCACTGCCCTGGGGATGCGAAAGCTTCAGGCTGCAACCACGGTTGGGCTGCGGATTTTCCTGTGGTTTTCCATCCACACATTTGCGCCAATTGTACGTCAAAGTCAGACTACAAGAAGTCCACGTTAAGATCGGAAAGTATTCACCGATTGCTGACCCACAAGAATCCGCAGTATACCTGTCGACGATGCGGAGGTTACCGGCCCAAAGTGGACACGCGCTTTCAGAGGCCAACAAGTGCCAAAACAGGGGGATCTTTCGGCGCATTCGATGTGGACCCGTGGAGTTGACAAACCCAAGCAATCGTGTACGAGGTCTGCTGCTGCCCCGGCCCTAGAACTGAATATGAAGCCCTGTGCCCACCTCGAACCTCCTTGAAAGCTGCAAGTGTCCAGGGGATTTGGGTTTTGTCCGGCTTTGTGTGTGGGGCTTGAGGGTTCAAAAACAAGACGAGAAGAAACAGCGTGGTCAAAATCACAAAGGGGAACTCTGGTTTCAAGGTTTAAACAAGTCTAAGCCCCTCTGATTAACAAGGTTCCGCCTTTGTGACCCCTCTTCACTCGCTTGAGCCCTCGATTCATCCTTTTCGTATGATTTCTGAGAGCACGAGTCTTTTGATCCACGTCTTGGTTTGATGGTCTCGGAGCCAGCCGTCTTGTGCTTTCAAAGGAAATCAGGGACTTCTTGATCATTTCAAGAATCGCTCGTACGCACGTGTGTGTGATGACTTGGCAATGAGCGGTAACATTGTGCTGACATCGCACTAATGTCTTGAAGTTGGCAGGTCGTCACTGCTATGGGGCACTTTCCGGCATGCAGGTTGACTGCCGATGGCCCCTTCTCCAATCACTCGGCGCACATCTTAAAACAACACCCTCTTGTACTGTTGCACACACAGCAGTCGTCGTAGACCACGCCATGTGCGCCCTTGCTTTCTCCAGTGTGGCAGCGAGCCGCCCTGCCGTGTCAAGCGGAGTTTCAGAAGCATGCCGGCGGCCACCAGAGATGTTAGAGGCTGGCGGTTGCTGCACGTATGTCATGGAATGTTGGCTACATCGGTCCTTCGTTTTCACGGTTCTTTTGAAAACAGTTCTTCATGGGTCGTGCAAGCAAGGATCAGACATGCTGCGTAGAGAGTTGCCGTGGCTGCAAGTGATGCAAGTGTGGCATGGGGACATTCTGAACTGTGCCCCTGGGCAAAGCCCTTTTCGTAGGCTGGCACGCCCGCTCGGGGCTCTCGGGGCTCTCGGGGCTCGTGTCCCTGGCCTGTGCTCGCCGCGGCCGCGGCCTGGGGAAGGGGGCAGGCGCGGACGGGTAGCGGGGGAAGATGGCACATTTGGGCCTTCCACCCCCTATGATCCTGAAATATCTTGAGCTACCCTATTATCTTCTCAAGGGCTTCATGGTCTTTTATTTGCAGTCTGAGATTCTCAGAAGCCGATATACTTCAGAACGAGAGAGGCACGCTCCCGCCGCTCCCTGGGGCTGGGGCTCGGCCTTGCCTTGGCGCCCACCGCCGCACAGGCCGAGGCCACCTTTATGGGCTGTTTTTGGGTTCAGGGTGCAGGGCTTCAGGGTTCAGTTGCTGGTTGAACCAGGGTGTAGGTTTAGGAACCGACAAGGACAGAGGCCAGAGGGACTCCGCAGGGTCGAGGCTCGCTCTTTTTGCAGCTCCTGATGGCATGATCCCCAACAGGGTGAGCGCAACACGCAAGTGCCCCCAGTAGAACGCGGCAGTACCACCATGCCGCTGTCGCGGCCCAGCCCACACCGTGCTTCGAGATGCTTCGAGTAGACAAGCGTGCTCAGAATCTCTGAAGCCTCTAGTGTTGTGTAAACACCGTCAACTGCTTTAGCGCCGACGTGAAGCCATGTTAATGCAGCGCTAGCTAGCCTCACGCGGGTCCAGGACCAGGGTCTCAAGCAAATCGGCAATGAGACCTTCAGCGTTCAACTGCCGCAGGGATACATCTGGAATGAGCCGCCTGGGCTGCAATTCTGATTGCGGACTCCGCTTGCGCTCTGGCTCTCCTAAGCCCTGTAAAGCGCCACAAGGAAGTTCATTCTGGCAAAGACTCACCTGTTCGAGCAGAGCGTCGGTGCCTCCGACCCCTACGGGAAATGGCCGCTGGGAGCAGATTCTAGGGGCGGATTCCCAGAGTTTGGAGTGCTATCCCTCAAGAAGTGCCGAGGACTTCGACTTCAGTTAGTGGCACGAGGTGCAAGTGTTCAAGGTTTTTGGGCCCAACTTCGCCTTAGAGCCACGATCCTCTTGCTAGATTTCTTGAGTAGCAAGGCTTTGAACGCGCCGCGCCCGCAAATCCCCATGTGCACCAAACGTGATCCCAACCTACAAAAGCAAAAACGCACAAGCTGTAAACGAGGGTTGAAGGCGCTTCAGATGACCGGACTCCTTCGAGCATCTCTTCAAAATCTTGATAGAATCGAGTGCCTCATGGCCTCTGCTCGTGTTAAGGAAAGTGGGCGTGACCATCGACGAGGTCTTTGCCAACAGCCTGCTTGGGACCTAGCCACGTCAAGCACATGCAGCGAGTCAACATGTCAGTCATCCTGGGGCTTCATATGAGTTGCACAGTTACACGATCACTCGGTTAGACAAGCAAGGAGCTCAAGCAATTCTGAAAACATGGCCCTTCGCCACAATTTAGAGCTGTGGTGAAAACAGTGAGAGCTTCCTGCAATACTCGTGCCTCGTGCTTGAAAACACCTAATCAAGGCAGCCTTTTTGCTTTCGTCAAAGTCCTGAAGCCCTGGCTAAGCGGCAGAATTTATTTCTCTACGCATCGCAGAGACTCGCACTAGCCACAAGCAGTTGAGGCATGCCAAGTGCAGGCAATTCGCGGTAGTTAGAACAGCACGAGCGTATAACATAGTTCAGCAGACTGGTCGAGCTTCGGTGAGCTTCGGCTGTACCTCGCACTCCGCTCAGAGGTCCGAGGTGGGCTCTGTGAATGTTGTGGCTGATCGGATCGCTGACATCGAGCGCCAGAAGGACAGCATTGTGGATGGCATGGTGTCATGCTTTCCGATGTGATGCAGAATGACTTAGACATGTGAGTTGGTTATCTGTGGCTCGAACATCTTAGCCAGGCCTTGATGCATTTGTACGCCATGCCGGTGCGTTGTGACGTTGCTGGGCGCAGGGTCGGCTGACACACGGCTCATCCAAGTGTAGGTGTTCGGCCGAAAACTATGATATGTGCACATGTGTATATACATTTATATATTTATATATATACATACATCATGATGTCTAACAAACAATAAACAAAATATGTATATAGTCAGGAAGGCTCCCAACATGTACTTCGCAATGCCCTTCTGGTGTAGACCTTGTCCGGCTGCAGCTACAGTATCGTTGTCATCAATTCTGGCGATGCCCCCAACCCAGACCTGCAAAACACCGCCTCCCGAGCTTCATCAGACTCTGGTAGGGTCAGCAGATTTTCCACTGAGTCCAAAGATGGCTCGAGAATCTCTACCCGGCCCCTCATTCCCCACATAGCCACATCCTGAAGTGGACAGCGTCCACTATTTCTTTTCGAGGCGTTAGCTTTGGATGGGACCCTTCGAAGCCTTGGGGGCTGACCCTAAGGGACCTTACGGGAAGCCCCGCAAGCGCCAGCCTGGAATTCAGATTGAACCCAATAAGAGGACGGAAACTTCACAACGGATGTACTCTCTGCGAAGGAGGCTCTTCGTCCAGGGCTTCTAGTCAAGCACCTTCATGTGAAAATTTTGTTGCAGAGCGATGGATGCCCCCGATGGCGACATTCTCAGCATCTTTTTATGTGACCCCTCCAGTTACCAGAAGCTGCCCACCCCAAGCTCCAAAAGGCTTTCATATTCAATTTATGAGGAGTTCTTTTCCAATGCCGTGGTAGCAGTCCGGTGCTCGTTCCCTTCGGGTATTTGCAGCTTCAGGCACATGACCCTTCAGGTGCAGTTACCTTGGGGTCCAGTACCATTCGCTATCCTTTCTCCTGCCAGGTGGCCGCCGGGGAGGTGCAAACGTACCTCATCGAATACCGCTGCGACACCTCACGAGGCTGAACATGAGATTGATCAACTGGCCCAACCAAGCATTCTGCAAACTACAGGCTGCAAGTAGCACAGTCTTACTCACCTTAAATGTCGACTCCTTCCAGATGAGCTTCATTCATAGTTTCTGTCCATCAATATCTATCAATGATTGTAGCTGTTTGCAATGCTTGCCAAGCTAGAGGTGAATAAAGCTGGTTTCCAACCATGTATTCCCCATTCCCTCAAATAGATCTTGGCAGTACTGTTTCTCCCCTCTCGGATCTTGCGCGATACGGTGTGGACCCCTCCCAACTCCGTCTCCCCTGAATCTCACCCGTGTTCTCCCGGATCGCTACAGCCAGGCTTCAACCATTTTTTGGTGCGCACCTCGGGCCCCGGCTAGGATTGTGGCAGCTTCGCTAGCATGGTCTTGCGCTTGTCACTTCCATGTTTGTTGGGGTCGGACACTGGGTCATTGGGAGATCTTCGAGTTCGGCACAGACACGGGGGCCTAATTTGTAGGGCCCGCTTCTTTTGTGGGCTTCGACTTGCGTAGCGGGCTCTTATCAGCACGAGATGCATATGCTCACGCTGAAAGGAGCCTCTTATAAGCTCCATTTCGGACATGGGGAGAGAACCCATTTCGCGAGAGTGTCAGCGAATCGATAAGGTGCGCGTGGCCTTGAAAAAGGGCCGGCTCTACACCTTGACGTCACAGGCCTTCTCTGGGCCTTCTATGGGGGTTTACGATAATAGGGGTACCTTATTGGGGTCCTTATTGTACAATCCCGATTTTCATAAACTCGCATATGGGCTTCGGGGTGAATGTAGAGGAGTACGTTGGATGTCGGATGCCCAGATCTTTTGCTTGATGGCATATGTGTCCCGCTTGTGGGTCCTGGCATGAACATGCTTATCCGGATCATTGCAGTCTCCTCCATGCCCTGAGAAATGTGGCTCGCTGTGTGCTAGGACCGAATCAGCCACAAGTGCCACCCGAAAACTAAAGGCCCCCTGTCCTGCCAGGCTCCGGAGGACCAGTGGAAGAAGCTTGAGGATGCCACCCGCGAGTCTTTCGACAGCTTCAGGCACAATCCTGGACCAAGGGTTTTCCATCTCAGCAACATTCCAGATGCCACCAGTCAGAAGGGCATCTTGGCAGAGTTTGGTTTCATGAGATTCGGGCTGACTCCAGCCTGCAAGTGCAGGTTGGTGGCGTGACCTCCAGCAGTTTGCCGGCAGTGAGCCGACTCGCACGCTGCACGAAGCTTTCTGAGTCTGACGACAACCTGAACTTGATATCTGAGTGACGCGGACACGGACATTCATGGGTCTTTGAATGCCAGTACGCTGCCATACTGCTGCTCTTCTACGAGATCTTTGCATTTTGCACGAGTGTCCTGCGAACTCTGTAAGGCTGTAAGGGGATCCTGGGCCGCAGGAATCCACGATTTTCCAGCACTGGGGCCCTTAAGTCGGCTGGGGCTCCAAATTTTCGCCAGCCCTTGGGCGGAGCTTCACAAGCTGCGATCTCTAGCACAAATCCGTGACCGGGTGTAGGCCCTGTAGGCGGAGGAGGGGTTGCATGATGTTGCAGGATGTTTTAGCGCCCCCTAGTGCCTGACCAGACCATGGAGAGAGATGGAGAGAGCATGGCTTCCTGGTATCTGCAATGAAGTCGCTGGCACCTCACATACAAACCCTGCCCAAGTATATCCCAAGTAGCCAACTACTTCCACCTGTGCGTAATCACGGTTCCGAATCAAAGCACGTATGACATCTACATCTCCATGACATCTGAGCGTCCGTGCAATCCTGAACTTAAACCTAAGTTCACCTCCCTCAAGCGATGCCCCAATTTTGCCTTAGACCCTTCCTCAATGCTCAGAACTAAGCTGAGCACTCACATCTAGGTGTGCGCGAATAGTCGCGCTGCAGTTCCACGTACGGAATGAGCTTATTGCCGGGACAAGGCAGTTTAGATCAACTGCCGCAGAATTCTGACACAAACAAACCCGTACAATGCTGCAACAGTAGCTTCCCTTTTGTACACGCAGCCTTTCATCAACTGTCACGCTGGTTGCTGGAATAATTCACAAAGCCAGTGCGAATCCCATCAAACTTTCTTCCGTTTCATCGCTGAACCAAGAGCAGTTTGTTAAAGGGGTCCCCGAAAGAAGTGCTCACTCGGCGCTCACCACTGTCTTCAGGCCTCGCGTTGCGAGCTGGAGGGGGCAGCACTCACCGAAGCGCTGCGGACAAGCCTTCCAGGCAGACTTGGGATGAAGGCAATACGCAAGGTAAGTCGGTTACAGGCACGGTGAGGCAAACAGGAGTCATTGAAAGGTCTTTAGGTCTTACGGCCTTACCAGCTCGATCCTCAAGCGGCACCGTGCCAGCAGCTTCCGAGGATGTTGCGCACTGGATGCCTGTGAAAATTTTACCGTCTTACTAGGTTGCGTCTCCCTTGCATTGCCAGGAATGCATGTCCCATCGCGCTATGTTGAGACCTGCACACTCTCTTCGTTTTTGTTGCTACCGTCGCTACAAAGTCTACTGTACATGCGATTTATGAGACTATCCATGCGACTATCTATCTTCTGCTTACCACTGGTGAAGGATTCGGTTCGGCAGATAACCAGATCTGTCCCAAAAAAAGCCCTCTCTTTGATCTCTTTGTAAGTTCTCGCGGCTCCGCCAAGCCGACAAGGTCAGAGATTGGGCGCACTCTGCAGGCTGCGGCAGGCCGGGCCCAGTCCTTTCAGCATGCAGTGCGTCGTCTCAACCATGTTCGCTGCAATCGAACCGGCCTCACACTCCAGGCACTGGCTTCGACCGCACACCCTCCGATCGCCGGGGTGGCTGAGACGCATAGAGAGACTGATCTTTGAATTTGGCAGCAGCAGCCGTTCAGAAAGCAAACGTCACCGGATTCGTTTTTTCAGGGCCTTTGGAAACATTGAAGCGGAGGCACTCCAACAGACAAAAAATGCAGAGTGCCAAGGTTTTGCAGAGTGGCGGGGCTGAGCTGCTTGTCTCTGCCCTTCGTCCGGGCCTCGCAGCCTTGAGAGACTTCCTTCGGAGGTCACTAGGTACGGCTCAAAGCTCACTTTGCTATCAACCTCTCCGCTATCCACCCTTTCTGGGCGTATAAGGCGAATACATAGTAGACGGGGCGTATGACAGCCGACAACTCAAAGGTTGCAAACATCCAGAACCGCTACGCGGCCAAACCCCAGACTGTTCAAGCCTCGAACCAAATTCGTCTGAAGGACACTCTCAGTAACGGCACTGCTCGTTTCGTTTGCTTGTGACTCGGCGAGTTGTGGAATTTGTCGGGGTGCCTGGTACCTGACACTGCTGCCCTGAGAGCCAACTAGCAAACAAATCTAGAGACGAGAGCTACTCAGCGCATTGCCATCCTGGGTTTGGAATTTCGTGGTCGATGCCAGATCTCAGCCACACAATGGTGCAAGCGTTGCCAGGCCCTTCCACAGCCTCGACTGCTGCCTGTCAAGTCGAGGCGGCTGTTTTAAGGGGCTCAGTTCTGGGGCTTTCAGTGGCCTTCAGCTGAAATCATGGGGCCTTCGGTCGCACGAAGAGTAGAGCTCAAGGCAGGTGGAGGAGGTGGAAGTGTAGCCTCACAGTGCCGCTCACAAGGGCTTCTTAATCGACATGCATGTGCCTAGCTGTGTTGAAAGTGGTGTCCGTGGTGGGTATTCAATACGAGCTGAGTACTGTTGAGCCCTGATTATGAGGTGGCCCTTGATGTCGAGTTTCCATGCCGCAGTATGTTTCTTAAAGATTCGCCAGTTGGGGGTCGCTGTGCCGTAGGCCGGTCAAAGTCCATGCTGTCCCCCCAAAAGCTGCGGGGCATCAAAAAGCACACACTTCACGGATCTTCACGGTGCCCGTGGCACTTAAAGGTGAAGGTTTGTCGGCAGGGGGATTTTCTTTCGCATGTAACGACTCGATAAGAATTGCAAACGAAGACCCAGAAGCTCGAGGCCGCGTGGTGCTTGGTCCAGCTCAGCTGCGGTAGCCCCCGCCAGACCAAACATTTGGCCCAGGCCCGTCGGGCCTTGAGACTTCTCGGCATTATCCAGTAACTTCCTCTTCAAGGCATTTGTGAGGGTTTTTTGGCTGGGCCGTGCAGCCGTGCGTAAGGAGAAGTTTGGAAGATGCGGCAGCACGAAATGCAAGGTCTGAAGCGCGACTCCTTTACCAGGCCCTTTAGGCATATTCTAAGCTCTGGCTGTGCCTCGAGGATGCAAAGCAGATGGAACTCAGAGCACCCCAAAACCGCATTCAACCTTAAGGAGGCCCTGGAAGCCATGATGGCCTTGAGTTGGAAGGCAACAAAGCAAAGGTTGAGCATTGCAGCACTGAAAGCCCTCCACACACGAATCAAGAGCGTAGAGTTCATGTGATGCTCAAGCAAAGTGTGGCTCCACCCTTTGCAGATGCCAGGCTGGTGCTCTTCGGGCTGGCATGGCCGCGCTACAGCAGGAATCCATCGCGGAAAGGTGAGCCTGGGGCTGCTTTCTTCTGATGGGAAACCTCGTGATTCCACGAAGCCAGCTCTGCTTTGCTTATTGTTTACCTGGTCCAACGCCGGTGGGCCGAACCTCTACAATTTTTTTCGCTGGGACGTGCATGGAGCTTGTCTTAGGTTCGGTTGCGTACTTGCCTCTTTCGTAATCCCCCTGGGCTTACGTTCAAAAGTGTTCGTAAGAAACCAGCCAGTTCTGGTGAACTGAAATGCGCCCCCACGTTTGAGGGCACACGGCCAGCGTAAGCCAGTGCTCCAAAGTGGAAGGGTGCGAGGATGACCAAGGTCAAGGAGGCGACTACCTCCAAGCACAAAAAAAGGATCTCCAAGCGAGACAGGCCTGCCTTGTGCAAGGGGGATAGAGAGCGGGGTAGGAAGGCCAGCGAGGCCAAACTCTCCAAAGCCAGGGCCGAGCGTGCCAAGTCTTTAAAGAAGACGCAGGTTCGGAAGAGGCCATCAGCCTTGCCTAGCATTTTCAAGGTTTGCAAATAATTTGCAAAGCTCCCGAATCTGAAGATACGGCAAAAAGGAAGTCTCTCGAAAGACTCGGGCCCAGAGCTTCGAGGCCATGCGTGGTAAAGAACGTCAACAGGCCTGGCCAAGGTTGCCAGGGTTGCCAAGAATTTGACGGCAGCTGAGGTGGACGAAGCGAAGGAGCAACACAGGCAGTAGTAGCGGCAACAGCTTGCAGCTTGGTGGTCGCTGTGGCACAAGAATTTCAGCCCAGATGGGGAAGACTCGCGACAGTGGTTTCATGCCAGCTGTTTGCAATTGCGCGAGACTCGCGAAACAGCCAGACACCTCGGCTGAAGCACATCTATGTGCAACATGGATGTTGAAGCTTTGATTTGGAAGCCATCCTCCATGATGCGTCAGTCTGTGGCTATACCGCAGCAGGGACCTTGCAGCTGCTCGAGAAGGCATCGCCAGGCATGATGCCGAGAAGAAGGCCTACTCGGAGCTCAAGGCAGCCACGTAATCACGTAATCCGGAGCGCGTGCTGGAAGCTGCGAAGCGCGCGGCAGCTGCAGGCGTGGAGGATCAAAAACTATCAAGAACTCTTCCGTGAGCTGCAGGAGGATTCAGAGCCCACCACGAAAAGCAAGAGCCCTTTGCGGATGTTGGACGCCCAGTGCGAACTCGGCGAGTTGCTGTGCATTGGGCTCCAGGGCTCATCCCAAGAGCTTCGAGCAGCAAACCGGCATGCTCGGGCCACGGCGTGTCTGCGGCCCTGATTGCAGAAGCAAATCAACAAGCCCCTGCTTCAGCCTTTGCAATGCTGCGCAAGATGCCGGCGTACCAGACGAGCATTTGGAAGGAGCCCGAAAAATCTTGGAGCAGGAAAAGCTCGCATTTGCAGTCAGACCCATATGTGAGACAGACGATCTGAACTGCCGGACGTTCGCGCTGTTGGAGGCCAGGGCTTCTGGCCGCCTGGCAGAAGGGGTAGCGCTCCTCACCGCTCGGCCGAAGAGGCTGCAGAGGCACTGAAATGTTCGAAGAAACGGGAATATGCAGAACTGGCGACAAACTGATCATGGTTTCGGGGCCCGCGTGAAGTTGTTAACACAAACAATAATCGGCGCCTACACGGTGCATCTGGGGGAGGCGGCTTCTTTTTGTTTTTCGTTGTGGGCTTGGGGGGCTTGACGGTTTGGCGAAGTTCAAGAACTTTGCTATCGCAGCCTCGGTCTGTTTGGGTTCCAAGTGGCCACAGAAGCACGGATGGTACAGACGGAAAAGTGCAATAAAGTGCACCAACTGTCCGTAGATCATTCTTGAACTTCCTATCTGACTGACCTGTCGTTAAACCCATGGGATCTTGCGGGGAATCCGTCCCGATTCTGCCCTCGCAGTTCGGAGCTTTGCGCCTGCTGTCTGCAGCTGCTCGCGAACGTGGCCAGCCCGGGACATTTTAGGCGAAGCTTGACTTTGCAAGGGGAACGAACATGAACTAGCTCGATTTGTAAAGCTGACCTAGTATGGCTGCAGCTTGTGCCGCGGAGGTTTTCTGGATGGTAGTCGCTTACATTCAAAGGTATCGTCTTGGGCTTCGATTCTTCGTGGCATACTGCACGCTGCGTGTCACAAGTAAACATCTTCGTTCTCCATGATGTTCATGTAGCGATTATGAGAGTAAAAGTTGTGTTTTTGACCTTGGCGCAAGTTCTGATGGCAATGTCGGCAATGTGAAGCGGCGGAGAGAGCCCAAGAGGCTTGCAGGCTTGTCGACCATGAGGGAATTCACAATGCTGCTGTAATGCTACGGGATGCTACGCAGTGTTTCAGGTGACAGCCTGGCTTGCAAGCTCTACACTTTAAGGCTGCTGGAGATGAAGACCGCAGCCTGCGAGACTGCCTCCTGCATGCCGAGATTGCACGGAGCCGAGCTTTCGAATCGGTTCCTTGACATTCTTGACTTTGCGCCTCTGACTCCCATGTTTATCATGTTTTATCTCTCTCCAAAGAGATGCCAGTGATGCCAGAACACGTCAGGGCCTTGTGCAAGAAGTGGTCACTGGGGCTCCAAAACCTGCAACTCTGGGGCCCCGGACAGTGCAGCTACCGAAATTGTCGTCTTCCTCGCTTGCTGGTCTTCGGAGACGCCCGTGTCACTTGCGAGGCGGCCCAGATTAAGGTGTAAGGCTGTGGGGTGAGTTAGCTAGGGATAGCCTTGCCTATTTAGGCTATTGGCACCACCCCACTCACAACCCAAGAATACAATATATGAAAAAAATCCTATTCACACTCTAGAACCTCAATACTCCTATCCACCTAGGTAAAATTTCTACGAAATTCCATCACGCTACACGTGGTGCCATAGCCTAAACTAGGCAAGGGGTTCCTTGTAGAATTTGGTTCAGGGTTTAGGGTTAAGGGTTAAATCAAAGCTTAGTCTTCTCGGATTTTCCGATCATGTTATAACTCTAATGTAATTATAATCTATAACTGCTTATGTATTATAATTACATCATAGTATCGCTGTATAAGGAGAACTAGTTTGTTTGTTCTGGTTTGTCATCAACAGGTATCTCAATCATTGCTCTGTCGTTGTGCTTACCAAATATCATAAAGTAGTTCTCCAGAAGCAGATCATTCATCAACAACTGTATAACGTGATCATACACTTCTTGTATTTCAGACTTCTTATCCACAATCTTAGTTTTCTTGTATTCCTTTCTCTTCTCTCTGCATTTAATGCAATTACGCCAAGGCTGCCCCAATTTATTAAACCCGAACTCTTCTGCAGGTTTTTTGCTGTGGCATCTTGTGCATTTGATTGTCTCCATCTTCCTAATAGTAATAACACTATCCCTTTAAACTGCTTTTATCCAAGCATTCTGAACAAGTCAAGGTGTATTTAACAGAACAATTATTGTAATGTTTCTTACTATCTATATACACACGCTTGAAACAATCAATGTTTTTGTCTTGCTTACAACGATAACACTTCCTAGTCACGACCATATTTGTTTCAGCATACGGTCCAAAATCAACTGATATCTTATCTACTTTTACTGGCATTATTATTTATATACGCGGGATATTGTTATAAATAGAAATATTTATAGCAAGATTTTTCCCTTAAGATTTAGCGAAACTAATTACGAATTAATCTCATTACCACACTCTTATGGTGTGCTTATGAATCTGTTCAGTGGTGCGAAGCATTGGGACTAGCATTGGTTTTGTTTCTGTTTCGTGGGGTCTGTCCTTGCCTGGGTGGGCCTCTCATAATAAGCTAGATTTTTTATCCAAGATATTTAAATTATTCTTCAAAATAGTTACATTTTTGTCTATCCTTTCAACCTCTGTTTCCAGCTTATCTATTTTTTCTTCTATCTCTTCTGGTGTTACTTGTGATTGTCCCCATCCTGTGTCGCATATAGCCACGCTACCCAATTGAGTTTCTGTTTCTGCTTCTGCTTTAAAAATTTCGTCTGGCGATAGCTTCCTTCCAGATGATCCAAATTTTAAATTGACTTTATCAACAACAATGTTAGTTGTTACTTTATCATTCTCCTTGACTGTTTTAGTCTCCTTATGGTATAGCTGTCTCTTGCCACGACAAGGTATGCAGTGAAAGCCCTTCTTATCAATGTGAAACCCTTTATTATCTTCATTGTTTTCAGTGGTATCGCTCATTAACCTTTCTTAGATTTTTTGAAATACTCAAGCACTGCCTTATGCAATTCTAAAGAAGCGGTGCAACACCTTTTAAGCTTGGTGTCTTGCATTACAACTTTTTCAATCTCTTCAATTTCCTCTATCGTTTCTAAATACCTATCCATTATATTAAATAACATATAATTTTCTCGGCTTAAATAATGGATATACCAATAGTCAAACCATACAAAACAAAAGAATACACTTGTGCTCAAAGTAAATACGATGTGGCACCTCGCATACCGTTTTCAATGGTTATAACTGGTCAATCAGGTTCTGGTAAAACAGTGCTTCTTTCAAATCTAATTCTTGACATTTACAGAAATTGTTTCAGTCGTATACATATTTGGTCCAGTTCAGTGTTTTTGGATCCAGTTTGGGAACCAGTCAAGAAATATGTTGAAAATGATCTTGGTGTGAATTCAGAGAAAGAAAAGGTATATTTTGACACATGCAATATTGATGAAATGCAAGAAGTTTTAGATCTACAAAACAAGGTTAATCAATACCAGAAGAAAAACGGAGCAAATAAAATATTTTCGGTGCTGTTTCTGATTGATGATTTCATTGACCAAGCATCGTTCGCGAAACATAATAATTCACTCAATGCATTGTATATTAAAGCCCGACATTTCAATGTGTCCATAATTTCAAGCAGTCAGAAATTCACCGGGCTAAGCACAACAGTTAGAACCAATTCACGACAGTTAATATTTTTCAAATTGCGTAATTATAAAGAAGTTAAAAGCGTTTTAGATGAATTGGCAGGTGTTTAATTAGTAAAAAAGCAATGTCAGATATCAAGAGCCTACATCAAGCAAAGCAACTATTATTGGAAATATACAATGTAGCAACGGAAGACCCTTTTAGTTTTTTATTCGTTAATCTAATGCAACCAGACATAAATAAAATGTTTATGGTGAGATTTGAGAAGTATATCACAATTGATGAGGATGAATAGACATTTAAAGATTTAGACCTTATACTTTATAGGACTTTGTAATGCCAAGAAGGAACACAAACTATACTCAAACTCATTTTTACAAAATAGTCTGCAAAGACCTGAGTGTCAAGGAGTGTTATGTTGGGCATACTACCAACTTCAAAAACAGGAAGTCAGAACACAAAAGAAGCTGTGAAACAGCAAATGCTAGAGGGCATAACCTTTATGTATATTGCTTTATTCGTGCCAACGGCGGATGGAAAAATTGGGATATGATACTTTTACAGACACTGAGTTGTAAAGATGGCTTACACGCGAGACAACAAGAGCGTGAATTCATTGAGCGGGAATACTCAATGTTAAACCAAGATAGACCTTATATTACGGAAACCGAAAGAAAAGAAACCAAAAGACAGTGGTCACTAAACAATATTGAAAAAGTGAAGGTAAGTCACGAAAGATACTATGAAGAAAAGAAGGAACTAGTAAAAGCAAGATCAAAGAAACATTACGAAGAAAACCGAGAGACAAAGCTTGAATACCAACATAGATACGCTGAAACAAACAAAGACAGGATACAAGAAAGGGAGCGCAAGTATCGTATAAACAGCCGCGAAAAAATCATACAAAGGGCATACCAGAGATTGACCTGTGAATGTGGAGGGGTCTTTATGAGACAAGGGAAATCAAGACACGAAAGAACCAAAAAACAACAAGCCGACCTAACCAACCAAGCCTCTGAAGAACATACAGAAGAGTTCCTACAAACAACCCAAGATAGTTAATAATATTAATCAAAAATATTGTTAATTATTAAAACAAGCTAGGGCTACAACTACAACAATGCAAGTCAGTAAATCTAAAACAAGGACATCTGTTCTTCTTTTTCAATGCTTCTACTTTCTTTTCTTCCTCGTCTAATTGATTTAACAGATCTTTCATCGTTTTTCAGAGTATATCGGTTTCCGAAATGTCTTTGCCTTTTTGCTTAAGTAGTTCCATACAGGTAGCATACTCAGAGTGAAAGTCGCGAATTCTCGCGAGGTCTTCTTGCGAAGCGTCGCTCATATACAATAGTTTATAATATATTAATCGCTATCATCTTTAATCTTCTTTTTCAACTTCGTTATTTCTCCTTTCATAGTTGCCATTTCTTTTTTCATTGTTTTCACTAAATCAGTTAATTCTTCGTGTTCTTTTATTAAGTGCTGTAATGCCCCGTGTGTTATTACTGATGTTTTGCAATAATCAAGTCTCTTATGTCCCTTATTATCTGTTGTTATAACCCCCTCCCATTCTCGTGGGATTACACGCTCAACGTCCTGAGCAATATACCCAATATGATTAACTTTATTTTTCTCTGCGTTTAAATGTGTAAAGTTAAATGTCTTCGGCTTTACATATTTAATTATTTCATAACACTTTGCACTACTAACTTCTTTGATAATTTCTTTTCATGAAAAATCAGATGAATAACCAAAGGTTCCATCAATATAAACCCCACCTGGTGATATTTCCAATGCTTCATTCCCGGCTGTTGTATCACCAAAATAAAAGAACATCTCACCGGCGCTATCTGTATTTACAAACTGTATTTGTTCATACGTAGCTATTATGGTTTCCTGTGTTATTTCTAAATTGCTGTTCATTTTTTTTTTTACCTTTGCTTCGCTTAATGATAGCTCCGGTGTGCTTCCTATCGTTCCAATGATAAAATTTATTGCTCTGTCGGTGTCTCCATTTCTTATATCTAAGTCATAGTCACTACCGTTTAAAGTTTCTTTTATTCCCGATGAATGTTGAAAATAAATACCACCCCAAACATCTAAATCTGCTTGTTCTGTTATTTTCCCTATACAATTAAAAGTAAGATTATTTACAACTGCTCTGTTCAAAGTTATTCCGTTAGTGTCATTTAACTGAAGTGCTATTGTTGAAGTAGTTGGGTCGGTTGTTCTGTTCGGCTGTAGTGAAAAATATATTCTCTTCTGTTGATATAACATTTAAAGAATTATTAGCATCATTACGCTGAAACAATCTACCACTATTATTTATATAAACGCTATGATTAAATGTAGCCATTTTGGCTCAAGAGTGGTAAGCTTGTGTGCTTCACTGGTTACTTGGTCACCTGCTTGGAAACTGTTTGATTAGGGCCATGTTTCTGCTCGCTGTTCTGGTGTGTTTCCTGTGCGCGATCCCGTCGAGTGCTTCGCCGGGAGATGCAGCCCTGCGGCGGCGAGTGTTCATGGCCTGGCGTCTGCGCA